TACCTTTACATGACATACATCATCAACAGGACAAAAATTATTATGAAGTGATTCGACAATCTTTCCGAATACTGGATGTGCTTTTAATTGCATAAGTGTATCTTTAGCACTTGAACGTTCATTAGGATTCTTCTTTAATAAAAGTTCAATAATCATTTTATAACCACCATCTTCAGATACAACAACATCTTCTGCATTTGGATCATTACAAAAATTTTCATATTCATATTGATCTTTCCATGGTAATCCACCACAAAATAAAAGATAAAACATAACACCAGCTGCCCATGCATCGGATTTTTTATGTAGACGTCTTGATATCAGATTTTTTGAATCACGTCGTAAAAATTCTGGTGAAGCAAAAAATAGAGTATGAGATTTAGTAGCTTCAACAGTAAGTTGTGCACGTAAAGTATTCATTTTTTCGACTGTACCAAAATCGATTAATTTAATACAAAAATTCTGTTCATTTGGAACAATAACAAGATTTTGTGGTTTTATATCACCATGAATAATACTTAATTTTTCAAGAAATGCTAATGCACGTAATACATAAATAATAATAATTATACCGATAATAATGATTTCTTGAGCGTCACCCTCATTTATTTTATTAATCCAAAATGTAACAAGATCACAAGCAGCTAATTCCATTGCAATAAAAATACCTTCTTTCGTTAATTTACTACCATAAAATTCGATAATAGGATGATTTTCAATAGGAATTCGTTTTGTTAAACGTAAAAAATTAATTTCATTTTTAATTTCTTCTTGTAGACCGGGTGAATTTGCCATAACTTTAATAGCAACCATCATATTTTTATTTTTAACTTTTGCTTTATAAATTTCACCAAAACCACCTCGATCAACAAATTGAATAAGTTCATATGTCGTACCTTCAATTTCAATGTCTCGTTTTTCATCACGTATAACTGTTTCATTATCTTTCGATTGTGCAAGTGCTAAGAACAATAAAGCCATTTGTTCAATTGTTGCATCATGTTGTCGTTTACTTGCTTCTTCTTGTTCAATCAGATGTTGTGCTAATTCAGCATTCTTTTTCATAAGTGCTTGTTGTTTCTCTTCTAGTGAGCTAATCCTCGCTTTTGAACTATTAGCTCCCATTATTACAATAAATTAGTCTGTAAAAATTGAAAATCTATAGAAGAAACAATAATCAACAAAACGTAGTCGCACAATTAATAAGAAATTCAGGTAAAAATATTCTTCAACAAGAATAGACGTCGCGGAAAATTTTTTGTTCTTACATCTGTCTTTATCGCAATAAAGAAGGTTATTTGCGTTTTTTTATTTTAGATAGGGTACCTTTTTTCTTCTGTTATATGTTAAAAAAATAGAAATCAGCATGCTTTTTATTTTCTTTTGGCCGTAAGAAAGGTAGAAAGAAATTTTAACATGATGTATGCGGTGTTTTGACTTTGTTCTATTCAGAGAAATGTGTCGTTTGTAGTCAAAACAGCAACAAAATGAGAATGTTTTAAAGAGTCATATAAAATACAGCTCGGAAGTAAAACATTTTGTTTTCTACTGCTCCTTTTCATACAAGGTGCATAAAAATATTTTATCAGAGGCGTAATGCTTTGATTTCAAATAACATCAACAACAAATTTTACGCTAAAGTAAAGCGCGTGGAAAATGGGATTCATCAATATTAAATAGTAAACGTTAAGGCAACTTTTCAATGTCGAATTTAGAAAATTCATAAAATTTTATGCCATATCAGAAAAGAAAAATTTATTTCATGAGATGATTCAAACTGGATCTCATTTACATTGACGAATATTAAAAAGTAATACTTATTTCTTATGATTTGATGAACATAATCAATAATCACCATGACGATCATTAGCGTTTCTACAGCAGGGAGATGAAATGGATATGAACATTAAATAATTTCAAATAGTTCAATATTGGTTTGCATGTTTGTCAAAACATATTTCATTTGTTTTCTTAGAGTTTCTTCATCAAAACGATTGTGTTTCGCATCTGATAGCCATTCTTTTCTGCTTCATTTTCGATTATTGTTTCAACATGTCCAGATCAGGTATATTCCAGTGAAAAATATTTATAAAAAAAACGGTAAAGAACGCGTTCCACTTTCGTAGCAAACCTTTTTTAAGAAAAAAAAACCGCTCTACATAAAAAGTGGAATGCGTTCCAAAATGAAACGGTCAAGAATGCGTTCTCACCCTTAAGAAACGTTTTCTTTTCTTAAAAAAAAAGGGCTTTCACGTTCGCGGAACACGTTCTTCACTATTATAGTTTAAATGATGAAAGATACGATCCAAGATAAGCTCTTCCTAGAAGAATCCCCGAGGAGTTCCAAATGATTGACAAAACCTCCAAGGAACATTTGAAAGCTAGGTAAAAAAAACGAGAAATCCTTGTAGATTGCCTAGGAGCTGAAGCTTCGTAGCCCCTAGGCAATCTACAAGGATTTCTCGTTGTTTTTTGCCTAGCTTTTCAAATGTTCCTTGGAGGTTTTGTCAATCATTTGAAACTCCTCGGAGATTGTCATAAGAAAAGCTGATCTAGGTTGCATTTGTCAACGAAAGAATGTGAAAAGGGATTTATTAGATCTCTAGACTTATACAGAAACCCTTAACAAAGATAAACTGGGACACTGTTAAATCTACCAATAAAATTTATATACCTTAACTAAGAAGCATATTCTTATCTAAAACAAATTCAACAAAGAAAATATTTCTCTATCTCCTTAATCTGAAATCATGGGTCATTGTCTATAATTAAACCTCACGGAACAAAACTGACTGCTTCTATTAAGATGAAATAAAAACTAAAGGAAAACTATCTCTAACTCTACTAGATGGAAAAATGATTGTTTTTAATAGAATGGAATGAAAAATAAGAAAAACTAACTCTAATTATACTAGATGAAAAAAATGATTTTTCCGATTAAGATCAAATAACACTAAAGAAACACTGACTTTATCTATTTTCAATCATTTATTCAAATCCTATTTCTAGATATGGGATTCATGGTAATTCTTTAATGAACAGAACAAATCTGATGTGACATATGATTGAGATAAAAAAGGAGTCATTTTTATTACGGATTGCATTGACTTTGATTTCAAAAATTGATTTAAAACGAATTTTATTCAACAGTTCGTTTAAGAGGAATTTTCTAATTGAACTTATTTTTTGATCAAATATCAATTCATGAATTCGTTTAATGATACTTTACTCATTGTACTTTATGAACATTTTTACTATTAACTATTCAAAGTAATATCCATGGTTAAGATCTTTTTCTTGTTTCTCGTTTTTAAATGATTTATTACATCCTATTTAAAATTTGTCTTTTCAGTTGATTTCTCTCAAATTTCCATTAATCAATGTCTCTTCCAAAAATCAGTTGAAATTATATTTAAGCTTTGTTATTGTACTTTTTCATTAGTGTTAAATCGAATTAGTGAATACCAGTAGATGTGAATCAAAAATGAACAAGACTCATTTTTGAAATGCAATGCATAATTGACTTTAAATATTCAAAATCATGTCTTCGTTCATTGAAACCTCAACTGAGAAATTCCGATTGTTCTATCCGACTAGAGTATGGATTCAAATAAAGAACATAATGAATTGTCATTGAATAGTATAGATTAACGCCTGTCCTCTCAAAGAAATAGTCTTCGATATCAGAAAAACGTATTTGATTTGTTTAAAAAAAAACACACAAAAACTCGAATGTTCTTCGTTTATTTTTATATTAAACGAGTATAATGTTTCCATTCAATTATGTTTCATATATGAGTTATTAATAAATATTGATGTTCAATATATTATTTAAATCCAGTTTATTAAATGTTCACATTCATATATATACATTTTTACTCCCGATATTAAGAAGGATTCTGTCACCAAATCACAGGGTATCTTTAACATTAACTTAGGTAGTATGTCGTGAACCATTGAGAATTTATCGTTAAGAATCAATTTCATCAAAGTGTTATATTTTCATACATGTCGAAGAAGTCTTTCAATTTATTAATTCTATCTTCATTTGTTCAATATTCATACAATAATACGGCAATAAATAACGATGATCCAGGCACATTTTTGGAGTTCAGATTGAATCATCTGATATCTATTATATGAACAATGTGTCTGTCATTGGTGTAAATATATCAAACATTGCATTGATTGTTAATGTTGACTTCGCAAGCTTGGTAACACTTCATACTGGACATATACTAAGATCTTCGCCATCATATGGCACCGACACTGATTGATAGATAAATTTGACCTTAATTGCAGTTTTGTCATCTGATAACTATTTCGAAGTCATCTATGATAATCTTGGAATTTTCTTTCTTGACTGATCTTTTTCCGCTATCATCGGTCATATTTACATGATCTTGTATTGGCTACTCGTCAAAGGAGGCGGAGGTAGCAGAAGCGTCAAGAACGATTTTTATGTCGACGTCAATCAACGAAAAAATATTATCAATTGCAGTCAAATACCAACAAACGTATTGTTTGTCGCCAAAATATATTATACCGAAGAGAATCAGTCAAAACTTAAAACGCGATTATATATATATATATATATATATATTTTGCAACTACGAAAGATAGATCAACATAGTCTATTTGCCATAGAATTTCATGACGCATTGCACAGAGAAAGGCGACAGATAGGGTGTGGGTGTGAGGAAGATAATAATACTCACACTCTGATCGCTGAGAATTATGAATTCTTGAGAGATCTAGTTTTCATCGATAAAACAAATACTGAGCGATAGTAGAAATGACGATTGGTCCACTTGAACAAAAAAAAAACTATAATGCGGAGGGAAAATTTAGAGGTAATAGGTACAACACTGTTGAATATGAGATTCATTTTTAAGTCTGAATTAAGATTATTTCATTATTTTATTTTAATAAGGTAACTGAATAGGTAAACAAATTTCTCGATTATAAGAATAAAACTACTGGTGTCATTTCAAAGAAACCTAAGAAGTCGCTGAAGAAATCCTATAGAATCGATCATCGTCTTGATGAATTGTTTGTAAATATATAACCCAAACGTTGTCTGCATCTGGCAGTGGACGAATATTGCCTATGCGATAGACGCTACCCATAGCAAACAAAGTTTCTTCTTCATCTTGAAACATTGATAAAGGAGAAATATTAGCATATGGACGTATAAGTGCCTTTGGATTTGTTTCAATGCTAAATACGACTGATATCAGATTCGAATTTTCATGATATTTGCCCGCATACAACAGAGCGATTTGCATCGAAGCTGTCGTCGATAAGAATGTATTTATCGATATGATACTACCTCGAAGTTCTTGGAAAGAATCGAATTCTTCCCGTGACATCCCTTGACCACGATAAAATATTTCCGGTCTTGATGTTTGTAAATACCAATGCATTTGTCGATAGGATTCCTTCAAGTGAGCATATAAATCAGTGAGAATGTACCGTAGTTTAAACATCGCTTCGACGTTACTTGATCGAAGTGCTTGGTTAATTGTTCGACAAACAAAAGAATCACGTGTGTACCATTGAACAGCTGCATGCGAATGGTAAGTATCTTCGAATTCATCAATCTCAGCAAGAATCTCTTGATTATCATCGAATATACGTCGAAATTCAGTAAGCATTTCTGCTTTTGATTCCGATGTATGCGGCATACAAAGAAGACTATCAATTGTTCGCTGATGAGCCATGAACAAATGAGGTTGTTCTGGATTATAAACAGTTATTGGCAATGGCAATAGCGAACTCACATCCTCGACATTCTGTAAAATCTAGAGAATAGAATATACAACAATATTTTGGTCTTCATATGTAGCTGTTGAAGTAACTCTTATTAGATCGATATAAAAAAAATTATCACTCAAAATTAAGAAAATTTGGTTTTCACATAATTTTATAAGATATCTGGCAATGTATCTACTGATAGAAGTCCCATCTCCGCAAACTAAGATTTTTGAAATATTAGACAGTGTACAATTTTTTTTAAACATTGTTGCAGGAAAATAATTTTATTGAATCTACTATTTGAGTTTCTATCTTATGCTCCTATAAAATTCAATCTCACTTCATTTTCATTAGTAGTGTTCGATGCAGTGTGCCATTCTGTTTCACAAATGTTCAACGAATTTTGAAGCTCTTTATAATCTTGTTTGATTTTATTAGCGAGCTTTGTAGAATCATTATAAATTCCTCGAATTTGCGCATAATCACGACTCCAATCCAAATTTGGGTCAAGTTGAGCACAATAAATATATGAAGCAAAAATTTGATCTGTCAAACATAACCCTGAATGAAATAACTCATGGCCAAGTGATCCTGAGGTAATCAAAAATATGTATCGTCGTTCGCGTAACTGCGTTTCAATGAATGATACACATGATGATACATTGTTGAAAAATTGCCATTGAAATGGTTCAATAATATGCTGAAATTGAATTTCGGTATCGTGCAACATTTCATCAAGCCATATAAACGAAAATAATTTAGCCTTTGGAGAATCGAAGCGATGATAATTAAAAGAAGATAGATGTCGAAAACGGTGTCTACTCATCAACTCAAGGTTGACCTTCCGAATGTGCTGATCGTATTTTGTTGATTTTACTTGGTCAGTCAATTTAGGCTATTGAAAAGAGAAATTAATAAAAATGATCAGTTAATATTAAGAGAATTCTTGAACTTTTACTTCTTCTTGAAGATATCCTTGTTTGATACAATTTGCATGCCAGTCAAATATCTTTGCTGTAACTTCAACTTGTCGTGGAGCAAACGTAGCATGAGCTCGACGAAGTGCTGAGTGAAATCGAAGATTTTCGTCCAAATGAGTAAAGTTGAGTGGTGATACGCGTGACACTTTCCATTCTCGACCAAAGATAAAGCCAAAATTCCATTTTACTTCATCTTCAACATACTCGTTCTCGAGGAATGCACACCAATCATCTTCATCATCCATGATGTCAATTTCAGTTGCAATCATCAATTTGCTCCATTCACTATGAATGCGCAACATATTACCATATACATAGAGTCGAATTGGTGACAGTTTCTTAATGAATCGACAAATGTAATGTGGATCTTCGTTCTTGAAAAGTAGTTCAGCATATGGTAAAAGTGATGAGTGTCTGTCACTACTTGGGATATAGTCGTTGAGTTGACGAATGACTACTGAAGTATAGCCGATTTTTGTACCTACGAAACAAGTTATATTTGCCTTATAGAATTCATGCATTCGTCTAGACTGTTTTATGCTATCAAATGAATTCTCATAGACAATCGAGATTTCAACTTTAATGTAGGAATTCTTTGTCAAATATTGAGAATTTCGTCTTTTTGGTTTAAGTAACACAACAAGATGAAATTTATCTGACAAACTATTGTACTGAATATTCAGAAAATTGATCTATAACCTTTTGTTTTCCTCCAAACATGCATTGATAAATGGCTGTCACGAATCAATCGATATGCAACAAATAGTTTGCGATTGAAGTACAAAGTTGTCCATCCATTTAATTCATTTTCAATTTACTTTCCTTCCTTAATAACAGCCATACTAGTCAAAGAGACTACTTCTTTTTCTCTCTTTTTTGTGTAGATCGTATAGATCAATTTGGAATCCCTCGAAAACCTATAGTAGTACAACATCCTAAAGTAGGCACTTCCTATAACTGGATCCTTGGAGATTCTTCTACCATGTTTTTGATAGGAATCAACATCTCTAAACTAACCATCTCCTTAATATAGGCGATCGGCATTTTTTTCTGATATCAATAGCAATAAATACCTCTTAAAAACCAGTGTTTGATAACTTTTTATTTTTATTGTTTGTCAAATACAAAAAAACCTACAGTCATACAGGCTTGATCAGTTGAATATTAAAAAACTTCAGTTGTCCTCGAACGGAATTTTATTCAAGAGCAGCTCAGACCAAACGGCTGTCGGCTGCCGAAATTATCGATCTTGATGGCAAAACATCGAGCTTCAACGAGAAAAAGAATGGACTTAAAAGCAGACTAATGATCGACACTGCTCATGCTCATCATATCGATAAGGAAAGCAATAATTAGAAGTATGGACCGTTCACAAGTAGCTAGGCAGAACTGTATTTGTCGAAGTTCTCAGAAATCTGGCTTCTACTCGCGAGAAAGGATATTTTTTAAGAAAAAAAAAATACTACAAGAAAAAGAAATATATGTAGTACATTCTATTCATTAGCTCTTAAACAATATACTTGTTGATAGAATACGATTTTTTTTTCAATGAAAAGTTTCTAATGATTTTCTGACATGTATACTTCCTTAAAATTGTTACCTTAAAAGAAATCCTAAGAGTACAAATTTTAGACAGATTTTATTGTAATGATAGTCCTAATTGAAATAATCGCCATGCGTCATTTTTCATGATTCGATCCGATCCGTGACGATAATTTAATTGTATAGAATCGTCAAAGTCTCAGTTCATCTTATCATAGAATAGTTTCAGCAAGCTCAGACATTTAGTAAACTTTGTACAAAGCTATGCTTTCGTTTATAGATAATAAGAAAATTTACGGTTGTTTTAAGATTTTATGTCAACTAGACTTACAAACTTTTTGTAATCTTTGCTGAGTATTGTCCATATTTTCTTGACTGCTGTTTAATGAAATAAGAAGAATATGACAAGGTTCAGCCTAAAATAGAACGAAATCGAACGATCGAATTCAGATTTATTGATCCTACCTTAATAAATGACATGATCCATTGTTTCAATGTCCGTGCTTGTTCAAAATAAATCTTCACCAAAGAAATTCGTTCTAATTTTACTTGTTTTTCACCTTCGGACGTCAAAAAACAAATAATGTCATTTGATAGGTCTAGTGTCAGCTGTCTGAATGAGTTTGTCATTCGATTCACTTGTTCCTGACTAGTAGAATCCATATTGTCTCGCCTGTATATACCTTTCACACGATGGTTTGCTTTTAAACGCGTCAAAAGATCATCATCAATGGAATCAAGTAGAATAACAAAGAATCGAGATAAACATGTGTCAGCAATTTGTGGAGTAACATTAACAAGCTCTTCAAGAGATGTGACATCGAAAGCAAATAAGAGTGACACAGGCGATCGTAAATTGACAGCTGCGATGCTTTTACTGGATCCGAATACCACTACAATTGGTTCGAACGATGCCATTGTATCCAAATTACTTCCTAATATGAAGTCAGCAAGGCTGTGTGCTTTCTTTCGTTCTGTATGAATGAGAAAGAGAAATAAAAAAACGAGGCACGTCTTGAGGTAAGTGTATGTGTGAATGTTAGTTGATGAAAAGGTGAAGAGAAAAGTAAAATATTTTTAAGTTAGTTGGAAAAAGCCAACATGAGTTACAGATTGTCTTCATATATAAGAGCTTTTTTTTTGGAACAAAGTTGGAAGAAGCCAAGTAGCATATTTTATTTATGTCCTATAGTTACGTGCCTCCATTATGATTTTTAATGGATTTTCTGATGTACAGTAGTATACATGGTCATGCAATAGTTAAATATATACATTTTGCTGAAAATATGATCCTTTACACCAAAATAATTGTTATAGAAGTATCAAAGCTAGGCAAGTAAGACTTTTCTCGAATGTGACAATGACAAATTATTCTAATTTATCATTGTGTAGTTTTATAACAATAAAGAAAGTTGCTAGCTGAGATTATTCAATTCAGTTTGAGATGATATCCTGTTGATATGACTTTGTAGCTACGGAAAGATCGTTAGGTTTGTTGATATTACTAAAATCCGATTGAAAATACTTAGTTTCATACTTAAATATTTTCTGAAGGATGTCTTCCTTCAACAAAAACGTGTTGATAATCAGCTGTCGTATCATTCAAAATATGCTATCAAGCAATTTCATTAGATATTTTCAGTCGTTCTACTTAAAATGTAGCAAAATTATTTTTCTGAATGATCAATAATATTCTATCAAATGTTTGATTCAATTTTCAATTTGATCATTCAATATTTCCATTATTTCTTTTTTAATGATAGTACAAATTTTTCTTTCATTTATACCTATAAATTTTTGCATTCAAACCCTATGTAAGAATCATTAAACACGTGTGTTTTATTTTATTTGCTTGAAAAGGTGTATTTTTACTTTTTCTTTCTGTTTTTCTTTGTTGCATTGCAGAAAATAAAAAATTTGTTTTTTTTCTTCCGTCCCAAGTTGGAAAGAAACAGTGTGGTGACGTAGACACTCTTCTGATAACATATCGTCATGTCTACTAAGTCGACTCCGTCTTTCTGTACACTACCAACGGAACTGATTCATTACATTTTCCATTATCTCGATGCACAAACGATTGTTCGTACATTTCGTTGTGTTTGCAAACGATTCTATGATGCTGTTAAAACGTATAATCAATTTAAATTAGATTTTAATTCGATTTCAAAATCAGACTTTCTTTTCCTTTGTAATTTTATTCAATCTGAGAATATTGAATCACTTACACTCTCTGATAGAGATGAGACACCAGGTCAAATTGAATATTTTCTTTCGTTCATTCGCATCAAGTACTTTACTCGACTTCGCTCTTTAACTCTTCTTGAAATCGATGATTGTTACTTGAATATTATTTTGAAAGATATTCAAACTTTGACGCTCAATTCACTATCAATTCATTCGAAACAAGATTATTCGCGAAGTCATACAAGCATAGATGCATTATCGCCAGCTATATCTTTACCTAGCCTTCGCAAGCTCAATTTGAATATTTCTAGTTTTAATATATCTAACATATTGTGGCCTTTTGAATGTACAATACAACATTTGGAGATTTATTGTGGTACACTCGATGAATATTATACCATCCTTTGTCATTTACCTAATCTACGAACATTAGTAGTAGAACAATTACATGAAAACATTAATGATGAAACAATTCCTGAACTATCAAATTTTGAACCCTTTCATCAATTACTTTCTCTAACTTTCAAATATTGTAGCATTGATATGATCATACTTGAGTCTCTTCTCTTACTCGCACCAACGCTTGAACATCTTCGGTTGATGCGAACAATAGATTTAGGTACTTTTATATCCCACTTACAACAATGGGAAAAGTTCGTTGAAACAAAACTGCTTTCATTGACCAAATTCGAATGTTTTCTTACTGAAGACTTGATGTATTTGGATCAACCTATTGATACTGAATTGCTTATAGCTCCGTTTCGAACTTCATTCTGGACTACCAAAAGTTGGTTTGTCATATGTGATCATATTGTATGTCCACGAACTGTCATTCTCTACACACCATTGAGCTTCGATCCTCAATTCGAATTTGCCTATGAATCAAAGAAAATTTGTCGTTCGACTTCAGCACCAACTATTAATAATACAATAGTAATGGATGGAGTGCGTAAAATGCGCCTGGATTTATCAAAAGTGATGCCTTTGGCTACATCATCACAGGTAATGTTGAATATCGATTCGTTTTATGTCTAAACACCGATATTTCCCTCCTCATAGTCTGGAATGAGAATTTTTAATGATTTTATTCTAGAGTCGATCAGAAAAAAAATTAGTAGAATTTCCTTATTTTGTGCACTGTTCTTTTGCAAAAAAAACAACATATGAATTGTTCTAAGTAAACCATGGCATAAGTCGTTCAATAGAGAGTTTTTTACAGAAATATTAGATCATTTTTGCAGTTCGATCAAAATTTCATCCTCATCCATGCAGTGATTGTTACATACACAATACTAATAAGGGTATGGATATTATTAAATTGTTCATAAAACTCTTCCCACTTCAGTATCTGTATTGATATATTAGTCAAATACGCGACGGTTGATTATGCAGCTTTTCTGCCATTAGATCGTTGCTAACTTGGAATAACTCATTGATAAGCTAGATCGAACGAATGGCCACGGTGAGCCTCAGTGCATCTTGAATTTGTCTTGCCAACATTAGCATTATAACAATCATTAGAAGAGCACTTCGTTCAATTATATGAACGACGAATCTTGCTAGGTGAAGAATGTTTTCCCTTGTTTATTATGAAATAGCCTTCCAATAATATCATCTATCAGAATTTATTTATTATGTATAGGGTGGCTTGCCGAATAATATAGTATTTCCTCAGCTCGATGAACTTACACTACGCATTAGGGATGAATGGCCATCGGGTTCATTTCGCCTTCTTTCGACTCTCATCGATCTATCGCATCTCGTCAAACTTTCATTGAAAATAAATAATTCATTTATTTATTATTGGGGATCGACAGGCAATATTGATACATTGTTGAAACTGGCACACAATATTCGCTCACTTACAATATTCATTTCTTGCAGCTATGAGCCCATATACGATCATATCATGGAAATCTGTTCCGTAGTTCCTGATAATGTGAGGCACCTTACAATTTCTGTGTCTAAATTGCATCAGATGCAAAACATTCTTCGTCATCTGAAATATAGGTCAAGCATAAAATTTACATACATTAATACTGGTTACAGTGGTTCTGAAATGCACCTTGCATGGTTTGAGAAAGACAAAGGATATTATACTTATCGACTAAATGATTCTTCTTTATCTATCTGGCTTGACAAATATAGGAAGACATCGTAAGAAAAACAACTAATCACAAACGTACAGAGCAAACTAATCAATATTAAAAGTTGTTTACATTCTGATTTATATTTTATATTGCCAGTAATACGTATACTGAAAACATTCATACTACTAATAAAATTCCATTTAGTTTCATCTTTTTCTTGCATAATATATTAACACATAGGCAAATGCCATTTGAGGATGCATGACGTAGGTAACGTTAGCGGTCGATTCGAGCAATTCCATCGACGATTTGCCTAGGATGTGTTTCAGGTATTTAAGAGTGCTCGTGCGGGTGCAAACGTGAGTATCAGTAAAGATAACCTGTATACCCGCACCCTCGATGTCAGTGCTTGTATCTTTTTTATACTCACACACGCACACCTACACATCGGAACTTGATCAACAAATACGAAAACATATACAACCGAAAAATGAATATGAGCTGAAACAAATATTGTTATAGGAATGGAATCAAATTGAAGACGATGTAGCTGCATCATTGGTTGATTCAGTTGAGAATTGTATACAAGAATGCATAAAAAAATAGGGCTTTTCAACTCGATACTAATAGAATTATATAAGAAAAAGAATGAAAAGAATAAGAAACATAAGTGGAATAAAAATTCATCAGAGTGCTTTCTGCTTTGGTGTTAGAAAAAAGACATTATAGTGTTATTAGTTATATTTAACTATAGTCAATAAAGAGATTCAAATGTAATCGAAGAGGTTGAACGTGAAACTCATTCAATTTCACTCTTTTCATAGAGTTTATGCCGTTGTATTGTGTGAAAGTTTTGATGTACGAATAATTTTGACCAGAACAGAAACTCTTCAATTTTAATATTTTTACCTTAACTGTACTAACTGTATGGTTAATCAACATGAAACTTTCAGCGGATATACTAGAAAATGTCAGCTACATTTTGATGAGAGTCATAACTCAAAAGGTCAAATTATTTTAAAGATATTAGGATAACAAGGTTATTTGTCATTTGTACGAACAATTTTGAGCACCCTTGTATACTGCTTATAGTGTCTATTACAGTCTGTGAAAGAAATAAAAAGAAAGATATCAGTAAGAAGAAATATTCATTGTCCATCGAAGCAACTTTATCGTATGCCACATTTTAATTCCTATAAGAATTACATTACAAATCTTTTAACGTTGAGATAAATGTATGTGCGTATATTAGCTAAAACAAAATATCCTACGTCTTTATTGAAAGATAAGAATAGTGTAGGCGATATATCATATACTTTCTGTTCTTCTTTTTTACTCCTTCAAAGAGTTTTGTCAATACACAACATGATGTAAATACTTCAGGAGTCATCATTCAATAAAAGCAAATCATTGAAGAAAAAACTCGTTGCCAATGTAATAGTCGATTCAAAAAGCTTCATACATAACGAATTTTATTATTTTTTTATGGTATGAATTCAATTCTATAGGTATTTACATTTTTCGAGTTCAATTGTCGGCTGTTTTTCTCTTGCACAAATGTCAACACTTATTTCTTAAATATCGAAAATTTGATCTAGTGAATAGTTTAGAATGGAAAGAACAGCCAAAAGAAATAAAAACACATGTCTGAAAAATTGCTTCATGAATTTCCAAGTTTCTTTTATTCGAGTTGTTCTAAAACACGGCTAGCTTCTCGAAATAGTTTGATGTTATTGATAGTCAATCGTTACACTTAAAACGAACGCAGATTACTAGCATTATTGCAACGTCAATGAATATTATTTAGTGTATTACTCATAGTCACTGATTCAACTGGTACATTCATCAAATAAGATTAAAGTTTTATCGCCATACTCCTTGGATCTTTTCTTTTTGAAGTTGAATGATCATTCCTTCTGAATTCATTGATATAGGAAATATTCTCATTTCTTGGTTCCATCCAGCCATCTCGCTGAGAGCGTCACTTATATTTGAAAAATATGTAATACTGCTCGAATTTGAATTTTTCAGTTCTCAAACGAACTTGACACTATACTTGCCCAAAACGACTTGTAGACTAGATTGGATTGCAAAATTCTACAACAAGGTATCAATCTAGACTTGCCATAATTACTATTTTCAACCTATATTTTTCCTAACTCAGTAGGAAATATGACAGTTTGAAGGCCAAGTTCACAGAGTCTGATGGCTAGTCTTTTAATAAAATACTTCTTAGAAGAACAGTTTCATAAAGTACTTCGTTCGATGGTGAAAAATCGTGTACGACCATCAGGCACTAGTTCAGTTTGAATGCGTCTGAAACATAGATGAAATTCAGGAATAGTATCAATATCAGTTGGATTTCGTTCCATTGTTTCACAATCGAAATGTTGTAAACAAGGAACACATCGAACTAGAATATGAGCTAATTGTTTGAAATCGAGTGGTCGACAATTATTTCCACGAAACCAATCGGAAACAATATGTAGTCGATTAAGATTAGGCACATGACTAAGAATAGTTTCGACGTTTCGAATATTTATTGTTCGAATGTAAAGACGTTTCAGATGAGTATGTCGAATAGGAACCGCTTCAATGTCTACATCTGTGCATAGTATTCTCGACCAATGTAGATGAGTCAAATTTGAACAAGAAGTAAGTATAAATGAATAAACAGGTAAAGCAAATCCATCAATGATGAGCGAGCGAATTGAAGGTGAACTCAACCATCGATGATTCGAATCAGGTGGAGTAAGTTCATCCAAAATACATTTATACAAAGATGGAAATCCATTGGAAAAAATCATTTGAAAGAAAATCGATGCAATATCAGAGTCTTCTATATAACCCATTCGAAGATACACAAGATGAGTAAAATATTCATGTCGAATCTGTGTCAATTGTTGTTGAGATAGAAAATCATAAAATTCTAGTGAATGAACGTTCGAAAAACGAGTTGCATCAACATAATCCGGTCGATAAACTTTTAGGTGAACGACACGTCGAGCAAATCGCTTGACGAATGGATCATTAGCATCCGTTGGAGAATTCGGTTGAAAACTGATATTTGATATACAATTTAGAATATTATTTATACGAGTATTCAAATCGTAGAAAGCTCGATAAAGTTCAAGGCCATCTATATAGTCAAAAATTGCATAGACGAGTTCATTTGGTAGGGTCTCAAAACATGTCGAGATATTGCTTGTCATGGTAGCTGATTTTTCTACAACAGTAGTTGGGTTCAGTATTTGTAACGACACCAATCGCGACGAACATATGATATTCTAATCGAAAAAATTAGTGTAGACAAAAAAAGTTTTATATATGTTTCGTTCAAGAATGATTGAAATCATGTGACACGAGAGACTGAGCAGCGTAGAAGCAGTGTCCTCATCACGTTTTAACTTCTAAGATGATATACTTAATAAGAAACGCGTCCTTATAAAAATGACAATAGAAATCGAGTTTGTCTGAAATCATCTAGCAAAAATTGAGATTGGAAGTAAATAAAACGAAGAATAAAAATGTGGGTATCATGATTGCAGTGAGACATGCTACAAATAACGTTCCGTATGAGAGAATAATCTTAATAGGGTATTCTAAAACATTTCACTATAACTAAAGATTTTCAATCTGATTTAGAAGTAATTGAAAATGACCGTATTCCGTGGACAATTTGCCACCGTGTCAATATCTGCTAGTAATTCTCACAATTTGGTTCCATTCGTTAATGATTAATGTGAATATTTTCCTTTAATTTATTACCAGTCATAACTTAAACGTTAAAGAATTAAATCTTCGAGAAAACTTTAACCTTTAATATGAAAGGTCAACGAATGCTTACTTTTTTATTTCAAAAACAAAAGAATATGGATGTAACTTGATAAAGGAATCTTAAATAATTAGTAATTGTGGTTTGGTACTTGTCATGACATAAGGTTTTAATTTCAAAATTTAATTTTACACTCAGATCAAAGTAGATTTAAAAAATGTTTCATTTCCAATGCCGACCATTTGATTATAGTTGATATGTATACCAATGATTATCACAAAACATTATAGATATATAATAATAGAGACATACAATAAGAAGTTCTTTAATAATGAAAACGCTAAAATATCCCGATACGTCTCACAAGATAGATCCAGGTTTAGGTCTGCGTGACGTGTCTTAACAAAATAATAGTCATTCATCGACGTGATACTTGGTAAATTAGGTCTCTTTGTGAAGACGGATGATTTTTTTTTGTCGTACAGACTAAAGTATCAAGACGCCATCATAATTGTTATTTGCCTCGATATACTTTTGATGTGAGTTAACAAACCTTGATAGATGACACTTGTATCCGCTTGTTTAAAAGCCGCAAGCATGATTTTTTTATAATATGAATAGTACGGATAATATGCATAGGTCAGTCAAAAAGTTCTCGAACTTTCAAATATTTATTCATAGAAAAAAACAATTTGTTTATCTTTTTTTCAGTAAATGTTCGAAGTAGTCTCCAGAATGTTCGGTACAAAGTTGCATTCCTTCAATAAACTTCTGAGATGTCTTTTCGTATTAATGAACAATTTTCGAATGTAACTCCTTGGATAAAATTTGTAGCATTTGAATATGTGCCAATGCTAGGTTTCAAACAACTAGACAACCAAAAGTCTGATGGACTAGGACCAGGCAGATATGATGGATGAGCTATAACTTTGAATTTTACTTCTCGAACTTATTTAAGATTAAGATTAAGATTTTTTATACGTGATTTTGCATTGTGAAGATGCAAATTTCATGCCATGTGTTTTAATGATAATCTTTTTTTGTGTAAATTTTTGACTAATCTGTTTCAACATTTATCACGCTAATACATGTAATAGACTATGTTTGAGAGGTAGCAACATAATCAACACTAAGATGTGGATCATCATTCTTCAGGTCCTGGATAGCATCAATATTTTGTTGAGTATTGACGGATAACGGCTACTATTTCGAGGATCATCTTTCAACGGCTCTCGTCTGTTTGAAAATCGATAAATCCAATGAGTGACTGTACTATATGAAACAACACCTGGTCTATAGCCAGCAGTTAATTCATTATGAACTTGTGTAGCAGTTAAACCTAATAACCAACGAGTTTTTATATATGAGTATATACGAAGTTTATCCATCTGAAAACAGGGCTGTTGAAAAAATTCATTAAAGAATTACTATAATAGACACTTGTGAAACTTCATATTGGTATTTTAATAGATAACAGATGCCACTACTAGAATAGGTCAACATGAGGAATAAAACTAATTAGGATGAAATTTTAGAAGACTATTACGAGAACTTTTTGACGACTCTATGTAAATAGAATATTCTGGTTTTTAAAATTAAAACTAGTAGAAAAACAGCATTCAAATCAAGTCAAGCTCTCAATAATAATAATAAAAATTTATAGAAGACAAATGAATTATTTGCTCGAAAATAAATTCTATTGAACTGACGATTCATTCACAGAACAATTGATTTTATACGGAATTGAACAGAGTCACTAAGGTATAACTGTCACAAACAGTAATGATCAAGAAAATTGAAGAGATTTAGCCATCGAACTACAAACAGTTCGATCATGTTGTGTTATCTGAGAAGATTCCTCACTATTCGATTCAGAGTTTTCAACTTTTGATAAGTTTGACATTCATATCAAATGCATCTAATGACAAATTAACACAACCGAAAATTGACAGGACATATCAGATAAAGCCAATTTGATCAGGCATTCTAGGCACAATAGTAACAGTTTTGAGATTCACTAATGGATGACCAAACAGAAAAAGAAGAGTAATGTAATCATCCATATCGAATACTATTTGTAAGAGACCATTGCATAAGAAACGTTCGGAGCTCAGACTTTTCATATTCAATGAACTTGTCGTGTTTATGGCATTCCAGTTAAATGGGGTTGCCATGTATGAGCTTAATTTATTGTTGTCAAAAAAATTAAAATATCAAATAAAGTTACTATGAATAATCAAATCTGACTGACAGAAGCTAAACAAGACAATGTATGATTTAGTATATCCAATGTTTTTTAAATCAATGCTCGCGCTTCAAGAGAAAGTTTTTAAATAGTCAAATACTCTTCGTCTCTGAGTCAGTGATGTATAATTACTCAACGGATAATGTCATAAAATTTCATTTCAGAAGTCACAAATGTTTTTCTTCCTTTGCGGGGTGTGGGTGTGTGCATTGTCTTCACACGCCGTACACCCACACCCACATCCTACTTTCATTTTTGTTTTCGTCTCTTTCAGAAAGTGTTGGCTGCATAAAATTCGATACTTTCTATTATTTTCCTAGAAATTTACTATATCTACAAAATATACAGAAAAAAAAGTCATCAGGCCTATCATGATAAAATCTTGGCACCATTCAGTTGCACAAAGACCTAGGTGAAGTGTCTTGTGTATGCTTTTGATGGATTCTCTCAGAAAGAGAACAAATTTCTTCGCAAGCACACCGTGTTATTTTTGATAAGCAAAAAAAAAAGATATTTTTGCTCATCAAATTATTTAGGTACTTTTAATCACTCACACCCATACAAATTGTATTTGCATTTGCGCAACTCTGAATTGATAACCTGTCATGTTTCATAATATTCAAAATCTATTTAGCCTTTTTATTTTGAAAAAGACGCGCATTTATGAATATTAATTTCTGTTTCTTAATCTAAAACAAATGCCTCTAAATCTAAGTTGTTTAAATTCGTATTCATTCATTCCATCGATTCCTTTACTTTCAAATGTATTCAATAATTTTAATCATTCAACATATAAATCAAATGAAAATAGTCTAATTCAAAAATTGTCTTCATCAATAATAAATTCAAAATTTTCTTTACATGATATTGAATTATTATTTAACATTTTTTCAAAAAAAAATCAACATTCTTTAAATATATTCATACTTTTAAAAACGAAATTAATTTCATCAATTTTTATTTATACAATTATAATTCTTATTCTTTTTTTACTATTTTCTATAATTTTTTATATTATATCATATATAAAATTTAAAAAATTCAAAATTAATTATAAAAATATTTTCTTAATTATATTAATTATTCTTAATCATGTTCTATTTATATATAAGATAGTTATTATCAATAATGTACATAAAACTAAAGATTCTCTTAATAAATCATTATATGAAATAAATAGAGAAATTTATCCAAAAAGTTTTATCAAACATTTACATCATTTAATAAAACAATTAACACAATTTGATGAATATTCAATTAAATGTAAATTGGTGTTTTTTTTTTCAACTTTGAATTTCTTTTTAAAATCTTTATTTTATTTTTTAAGCAAATTCAATTGTTGTTCTTGGATTAAAATCAATTATGATAGAAGCATTTAATCGTTTATTAAAAGAAAATTATTTTATTGAAGATTTATTTCATTATTTTAATAATATTGATAAGAATTATTATCAATTGAGAGATTCAATTATGAATGAAACAATATTAACTATTCTGTTTGATCAATTTACAATATCATATAAAAATATGACCAATGATTTAATTAATTTCAATAAAAAACTTTGTTATTATTTTGATAACTATAAATCTGATTTTAATAAACAAATATTGAAAAATTTAAATATTTTTCATGAAAAAATTCAATTTTTTATTCAATTTATTGAAAAACAAATTATCGATAAAATTAATGCAAATTTCTTAGATCAAAAACAAGAAGATAAAATTCATAGATATATTGCATTGATTGCATATTTAATTACTTTTATTATTGTTTGTATTACAATAATTCCATTGATTTTCATTAGTATTAAAATCTTTTTACAATGGAAAAATGAACAGTAAATCAATGAGTTATTTTCTTTTTTTTTTTTTTTTATAAAATAAACATTTTCATTTCTATAGAAATATTCAACATAATGTTGATAAAGTCGATTCTTCGTATATTCAAAACGATAATCAACAACATTATCCAATGAATGTGATGAGGTAAATCATATAAAAAAAGCCTTATTAGCCCAATCGCTCCCTGGATTAAAACGTCAAACAATACTGATCTATATGTATTGTAAATCAAGGATATTACAATGAGTTTGAAAAGGAAACCAAAGACAGATGTCTGAAATTCAATCTTCTTTCATAATAATTTGACAGAAGGCTATAGTTCTGTGGCTAAGTCTATCATAGACTGGGAGGGAAGGTAAGTACAGATTTTTACTTGTGTACTTCAATACATCTTTTAGATTGTGTTTGACAAAATACAATTTTATAAATTTGACTTTTTTTTTTGATGACATAATTTCTTAATATAGTTCCATTCAGAATTAAAATATAGAAATCACAAAATTTGATTACTATAAAGTTAGATCGTTAAAAAATGATGTAGTTTTTCTAAACTGAGAGTGTACTATATCAACATAATTTATATTAGTTACTATTTAAATTATAGTATAAAGTAATTTTTTTAGACAAATTAGTTACAGGTTTTTGATAATTTTTACTTTTAATCATATGATATTTGCATATAATGATCATTTTTCTGGTACATTTCATTTTCCTCCTCTGAATGACTTCTTCATTATAGTGTTGACCTTGACGATGTGTGTTTCTCTTTCTCTGTCCTTTTGTGTAAATCTATATAGGAGGAGGATGTTTGTATTTAAGTCCAAATCATCAAATATAGTTCCAATAAATCTGATACATTGATTGTATTCTGTTTTCCTTGCTTTCTCTTGAAACTTAAACCACAAATGAAAGCTAGATCGATCTTTCATTTTCGCTTTAGTTTTTAGGATCGAGGGATCCAATCATACTCATTAACTTTTGATCATAATTACTAGTGTCTTCGATTATTAGAGGCTCTTACTAGTTGCTCGTTAGTTTTTAAACTTGTGAGAAGCTGAACAACTTCGACTACTTATTTTCTGTGAAAAAATCGATGTGAATTTCATTAAAACATTACTATTCAAATAAATTCTATACTCTAATAAATAATAGAAGATTGAACAGACAATGGATTATTGATTCTATCTGCTCACATTTAGTTTTATCGACAAAACAGTCAAATATAATTTTATTAATCATTGGTGTAAACATAGAATATAATGGTTTGTTATTGTTATATCTCTTTATGAAAGGTTTTATGACCATAGTTACATTTATTAATATACATTAGATTTGTTTTGATAAGAATCTGCTTATATTTTGATTTTTATAACTGGACGATAGTACATTTAATACTGTATTTATTTTACAACATTTCTGATATCTGATATTATATAAGTCGCGATTCAAATCAAAGCAAATATTTCAGTTGAATTTTAACTTTGAAACTAATTGCCCACAAAACAAATGTCATCATTTTTTTTTATTGTTTGTCAAATAAAAAATTTTAAAATTCGATATTAATTTTACATTGAATAAAATTTTATTTGATCATTATTACTCTTTTATTATAGCAAGAATACAGTATCTAATCAAAATCAATCGGATGAAATAGAAAATAATATAAGAAGTATAAATAATAAATATTCTAATTCATTATCTGATATTGATCAAATCGAAAATAATAAATTTGAAGATCATGATAGTTCTCGTTTATTTCTTTTTTCAATACGTATTGTTTTTATTTTTATACTCATATTAGTAATTTTTCTATTACTTATTACTGGATTTTTATATGGCCTTGATTTATTATTACATGGTTCTTGTCGATTAGTACATTATAATCAACCATTTCTTATTTCATTTACAATAAGTAAATAAACAAAATACAATAAAAAATTTAAGATCTAGAAATTTCTCTATTATTAGATAATTTTCTAAATCAGATGAATAATTTTGATATAAATATAACAATTTTAAATATAATTAATGATTGTAATAATAATATTCATTTTAGTAAAATTTTATTTAAAAATGCTTCTATTCAATTAAATGATCAATTGAGTTCTACAATAAAAGATTTTAATCAAGAAATTTTTCAACAATTTTTAAATGTTAATAATAAGATTAATATAACATCAGATCTTGATTTACTTATTAATTTAGCTAACTTAAACAGTCTAAATAATATTGCAAATTATCTTAAATATATTAAAAATGATTTTGAACAAATTGACCAAATATTTAAACAAATTCTTACAC